AGCTAAAGAGATATCTTCAGAGGGGCACATAATTGGGTTTAGAGACGCGTGATTTCATTCGCTTTGTTGTGGCTATGGTAATAGTGTCACAAGTCGATTGGTTAAAAACTATTGAAAAAGACTTGAGAAAGGAGTGTACATGCATTAGCTCGAGTGTGATGATAAGTGATTTATTTTTGTTTTGAGTTTAGTAATCAGTACGATTGAATTGTTAAGCGAAGATATTGTAAGATCGATGGAGATGCGATCAATGATAAGCGAAGATCCATGAATTCATAAAAATCTTCAAGGTACAAGCTAATGTTGATAGATAAGGGGATCGTGTTATACGGTTTAATTTACAATTCAGATTTTTCATTGTATGTTTACATTCGTAGTGATATATTTTGTCAAGATATGAACTTGTAACGCGAGAAATGATCAATTGTATTAGGTATTGAACCTTTGAAAGGACTTACACTGGGTTGAGTCATAAAGTTTATTATTATTGATTGTTAAGTACCTAAGAAAGGTTTCATTTAAAAAGTGTTGTTTTATAATAAGGTAAATGGTCGGAGTGTTTCTGATGGTTGTTAGTGTTGTGAGTATGATTCACTAGTTATGATCACGTGTGTTTTCACTTTTGTGTGTGGATCCCTAGTGGTGGATCAGGGGTACCAATCCGGCGATGTTCTCTTGGTTGAGTGGGGTGGTTGGGAAGATTTGGTTATTTCGAATGACATAATTGATGTTGTCTTGAAGTTGTTAAAGTATTTTAGTGGTTCTATAGGTACCACCTTGCTTATGATAATTTATAGAAGAGCTACCATGCGTATTTATGGTTGTCCGACAATCTACTATTTTATCTTGTCGTCGAGGTCATGTATTGATTATGTGTGGTTGAATGTGGGGATCATTGGGTCCAATTCTACTGTTCTGAAGAGGTAATCTACAATTACTAAATCTAGCATTTTGATAGTGTGGTTGGAGGGTTGTATGCTAGGACATATCCCTCGATGAGTATCTGATTTCTAAATATCAAATTTTTATAACTTAAGCTCATGGAAATTTATGTTGTGGGATGGAGATGTTGTTAAGAACTATGATTGTTGGGTATTATGAGTGTGTGTTGGTTGGTTTAGGTTCACTTCTAATCGTAGAGAGTTGATTTTGAATTTTATCATGCTTAAGTGCTAAAGGATTCGTTCGGATGATTGTGTCAAGGTCCTTGATAACATGTTGCAGACGTGTGTACGATCAACTTTGGTGGTTGTTGGGAATCACTTTTGTTGTTAGTTAAGTTTACATACAACAATATTTATCACGCGAGTATTGAGATGACTTCATTGAGGCATTGTATGGGAGGATGTGTAGGTATTCAATTGGTTGGTTTGATGTTGGAGATGTGAAACCCTTAGGGGGTAATGAAATTCGGTAAGAAAGGCATGCGAGACAATTATCCCTAGTTATTTGACGATTCAGATACTACTTTACTCTTGTTTTAGCTCTTTTCTCCTAGTTTGTTACTCGGGGACGAGCGATGGGTAAATTGGTATCTATTGTAACGACCTGATTCCGTCGTTATGGAAAAGCCAACAGGGAAAAATTTTAGGCCGGAAAACTTTTTGGTAGTAACTTGAGAATTCCTAGCCTAGTCCAAATTTGGACGAAATCGGAGTCAGTGAGGTCTAGGAAGATCTGGTAATGAATGAGAGATCTAATTATGAATTGGATCATATGTATAGATAACTAAGACTTTAAGGAAATCGTATGACTTTACGAAATCGAATTCGGGCAAGTAGAACTCCTGAAACTGATCTTAGCGTGAACATGTATTTTATGAGTATCATGGGATAAAGGTGTGTTGTTAAATGGGGGTTTGAAATTCTTAAATTTGCTCACTGTTTCCATACAAATTGCTAAGACGGGATTTTCCTGCCAGGGCGGGGCCGTTGTAGCGGGGCGAGGACTGCTGTGGTGGGACAAACGCGACTTAAGTTGGAAAAAACCACAAAAACGTTTATTCTGCAAGTTTTGACTTTGAGAGCTAAGGAACGACCCCAAGTGTTTTCTTGACAGTTTTCCACCATTTTTGAGGCTAAAGGTAAAGTTTTCAGTTTCCGAATCCATTTTTCGATTAGTAGAACTTAGTTTCTTAGGTGATTACTATTGGGAAAGGGTTTTGGAACTGTTTGGATGGTGGAATAAAAGCCCTAAATTAGGTATTAGGATCTTGGGTTTGGTCTAGGGTTATTGGGTTTGTTATAATTCGGATAATTAGACCTTTGCTTGTTGATCCTTGCGTATATTAATTGTTTTTACACCACGAACAAGTGAAATGAATCTGGAAAGGGAAGATTCAAGTGCCTTAGGGGATTCAAGCTTGGATTTGAAGTAGGTGATGGTTATGATTTCATATTGTGTGATATATGTTTGTACTTGCTTCATTATAATGCATGTATGTATGTGAATGTTGCATTATTGATCACACTAATCGTGAATGAGGATAATGGAATAATTGAATGCCATGAATCATGACTTGATTGTATGATTATGAGAATGTACTTGTGATTGTGATTGTGGCTTGTTGAATGAAACAGGTGTCACAATCCGACACACTAATTAAGATTGGTTGCCACGTATCGGCATAAAAATTGGAACAGGTGTTACGATCCAACACACTAACTGGGATCGATTGCCACGTACCGACATAAACATTGGAATGCGTGTCACGATCCGACACACTAACTTGGATCGGGTACCATGTACCGGTACACTAACAGTTTTAGTATGGGTTCCATGAAAGGACCATTGAATTGGGTTCTGTGAGAGGACCATTGAATTGTATTGTGTATCTATTTGTGATGATTACGTTCATATCTAATAGTGATTGAGGTTGAAGGACTGTTGTTGCTCTAAAATGATAACCAATGTGTATTATTGAGAACGTGGAATGCTACATTGATCCTGAAAAGATGATTAATATTGTATATGTTTGGTATATGCTTGTTTTTATAATGTTGTGGTTACTTGCATGTGCTTCACTTATTGGGATAGCCGCGTGATCCTATCAGTACATTGTGGTTGTGTACTGATACTACACTGGCTTGTTCTTTGTTGAGTACAAGGCATCTTCAGGCTGCTATTGATAGACCTCAGTTAGGTGACTATTGAGCGTGACCGAATTCAAGGGTGAGCCAGTTCTTTCAGGCTGCCATGGATCTTTCTTATTTAAGTCCACTCTTTTCGGACTCAGACTATTTGTTTAAGGTGTTTATTTAGTCTCGGGGTTGTACCCCTTGTTCTTAGACTTGTCATTAGTAGAGTTTTGGTACAATGACTTTCAGGTTTAGTTTGGTTAAATTATTTGTTTAAACCTTTGGGAGTTTATGGGAACTCTATATAATTTCTGCATTTAAACCTGCTTCTGTATCTTTAAATGTCTTAGTTTTGATTTAGTTGTGTAGTTCTTGGTTAACTAATTAGTATTAATGGTTCTCCCACCAAAGAGTTAGTGTGGGTGCCAATCACGACGGTCTAGGTCGTGACAGTGAGCCCCTAACGAGTGATATATCTCCCTCTATTTTGACTATGACTAGTCTTTATTTTGTAGGGGTGTGCATCAGTCGGTTCGGTTCGATTTTACATATTATCGATTCGGTTTATCGATTTTCGGTTTATAGGTTTTTTATCGTTATCGATTCGGTTTTCGATTAACCCAATAAGAAAATGTCCATAAAATAATATATAATAGTACATAGGCTATAATTACATGTTACCGCCAAAACATAATATGAAACTTCGGATGTTAATCAAATTACTAACATTCACAAACTTGCAAAACTACAGCCTACAATTACGAACTAAAACTAATACTAAAATAAAATAGTTCAACGAGACAATCTTGAATAGTTGCTTGATCCACCAGATAATCAACAAAATTCTCACCAAGTTCCTAACCAAGACAATCACAAAGCCTGAAAAAGAAAAAGACAACCACCAGTTTAATAGACTATTACAGTAGCATTTTTACATTTAATGACAAAATGCAAATGACATAAATGGTCCCTAAACTATCCTAGTAGGTCTAAAATAGTCCTTTAACTATACAGTTGACGGATATGATCCTTTAACTATCCACATTTTGTCAAGTTTGGTTTCCATCCAATTGCAGCACCAGAACACCCAAAAAAATCCAGCAGAAAACTGCATAATCAGCACCAAACTATACATAACACATCACTAGACAGCAGCATCAAACTACTGCATCAGACTACCAAAAATCAGCACCAAACTGCACAAAAACAGCTCCCAAAACGTGTTACCAAACTGCTGCACATACAGCTCCAAAAACGTCACCAAACTGCTACACAAACAGCAGCACCAACCACAAAAAATCAGCACCAAACTGCACAAAACACAGCTCCAAAAACGTCACCAAACATATTTAATGAAATAGGCTCCATAAATGAATAACATCCATCCTCAAATGAACACAGTAAGATGCAGATTATCGGGCACAATCACTAAATTAACAATTCCATTTTTATTAGCAACTAATCCATTTATAGTATCATCATGTCCCTTAATTGACTCCAAACACTTCTAATTAGTAAATATGTATTGAGCAAGTTAAGCTTAACAATATGCAATATTTGGCCTCATATATTTTCTTGACAGAAAGCTTATACATTGAAAACCAAGTAAATACATGACTTAGAGCAACTTGTAGCTAGAATGGCTTACCAAATGTCCAAATCCAAGTGCAAAAAAGAAAGAGTTTCAACTCCACATTAATCATCCAAAATGCTAGTATTAGCCAAATCTATAGAGAATTTATGTTAATCAACCAAAAAAATGTTAATGACTATTTACAATAACAATTAAAACTATTCTAATTAAAATATCCTTACCTTGTTCGAGCTGTTCGAGGACATCTATATCTTCCTCAACACTTATAGGTCGTGATTCACTTCTAATCCAATCTTGAAGGCACACTAGAGTTTTCACCAATTTAGGAGTTAATGAACTCTTAAATGAATCCAAGATGTGTCCATCAGTACTAAACGCACACTCGGATGCCACACTTGAAACAGGAATAGCTAACACATCCCGAGCCATCTCAGCAAGAATGGGAAATCTAGGTGAGTTTATTTTCCACCAAGACAAAATGTTGAAGTTCTTGCTTTCAACTTCATTTTCTTCAGCAAGATATTTTTGCAATTCTGTTTTGACAGTTGTTGTATTTTCAGCTTTATGTTTCATTAGATCACCCATGAATGTCCCTAAAGATCCTATCGATTGGACACTACTACCTGAACTTGAAAGCAGTGAACTAGAATTTTCAAATGAAGAACTAGATAAAGATGAAGAGTGTTGACAGCCTTTATCTTTAGAAAGGGACTTTACATATTCACCAAACAACAAATCCATGTAGTCTCTAACTCCATTCTCTAAAATTGGACCTTCTTTCCCAAACATCATTTGAAGTGCAAAGCCAACTGAAACAAACTTGTGACGAGGATCCAAAATGCAAGAAATAAAAATCATCTTGTTCATCTTCTTTGGAGTACCCCAATACTTATCAAATTTTTCTCTCATATTCGAAGCAATTTTACCCAAAAGATCATCATTATCTTCTTCACTCGATATCAATTGTTTCAAATAACAAGAAGCCTCACAAATTTTAAGAAAATGTGAGTTTGCTGTGACGTAGTGTGATCCAGATACTTCTCTGGTAAGATCATAAAAAATTTGAAGAAAATTAGCAATTTTTCTTACATTGTCCCAGTCATCACTCAAAAGGGCACCAACAGCGCTTCCATGTTCATCCTTTCCATCTTCATCCTCAACAAACTGAAGGTAATGTAACAAGCCAATATCACGAGCAACATAACTGGAAAACGCATTTTCAAACTCAATAGCCCTATTTATCATCAAGTATGTGGAGTTCCATCTCGTAGAAACATCCAAACATAAAGATTTTTTACAATTAATATCAACATCTTCACAACATTCTTGGAACCTCTTACACCTCGCAGGAGACAGCCTTATGTATTTAACTGCTTTTCTAACCCGTTCAATAGACACAGCAGACACCTTCAAATCATCTTGAACAACAAGATTTAGAATATGCGCCATACACCTCACATGAAGGTGTTCTCCACTCATGAAATTGATCCCCCATTTAGTGAATATCTTAGACAACTCTTTCACAGTCACATCATTTGAACTAGCATTATCGACTGTGATGGTAAATATTTATCTAAGCCCCAATCACGCAAACACTTCATAATTTCATTAGCCATATCTTCACCTTTATGACTGGAAATTGGATAGAAGTTGATTATCCTCTTATGCATCCATGCTCGAGATCTTTTCTTTCTTTCTTTTGTAACCTTTGGTTGAACATATTGTGTTTGATGCATAGCATTTGAATTAATACTTTCATCACATAGGACCACCACCTCATCAGTTGAAATATTTTCAGTCACATGTATGTCTCTGTAAAATATGATTTAGACAATAATGATTAATGACTAATCAGGCAACAATAATGAAATAATTTCAAGGTAAACTAAAGAGAAACTAAAGAGATATCTTAAATGAGGTCTTCAACATTACTGAAAAGGAAAAAGAATTCTTAAGAAAAATAATCAATTGCTTACCAAATTTAACCTACATTAGCATAAGAAGGAGACAAGAAATGAGATGAAAAGCTTGAAGAAGAGGAATTTTGAATCAAGTAAAAGGAAATTCGAGGAAAGGTGTGCAGAGCAAAAGGAAACCAAGAGAAGGATGGTAATGTTGGAATAAGAGAAGATTTTGAGTATTAATAGTAGTACTATATCATTAATTCATTTGACGAGTTTTAGTTAGTACGTACTCCCCTTTTGTGTATTCAAAATCATTGATATATATAATAGTAGATTTATAATTTCACAAATATTATTGGGTCTCATGCTCTGTTATTCACTACTTGCTCTAGTTACTAATTAAAACTAGGATCTTGTTACTCTTGCTTCTTATCAATTTACTATTAAGAGGTAATATTGCTCAATTTGCAAAGTGTACTACTAATGGAACTTGGAAAACTACATATTGTATTGTTCAAAGAAAGATCAAACTACTGAGACGTACTTTTTACACTACTTGAATAAAAGATGGATTCAGAACCTCAATATTTCTATTTTATTGCTAATATAGGTCAAAAGGTAACAGCCAGCAGGGTGTCAACCTTGTTTATCAAAAAAGGCATAGATTACAGAAGAAGAAAATTATACAAGGACAGATATTAGAGAAGAAGAGATTAGAAAAGGGTAGAAAATCTTCACCGTCGCCTAGCCCTTGCTATCGTCGTTGTTGCGAACCCTCCTTGGAAACTTGTTGGTTGTTGCCGGCTTGCCGCCGCCGTTGGCTCGTTTCTAACCCTAATTTTACTCTAAGCGCCAAGCGGTAAGTACTAACTCCTACTGAAAATCTAATATAGAATCTACTTATGTATTAAATTATTTATATTTTAATATTTTAGGAAGGGTAAAGTAGTAAATAACTATCACCTTATTGGGTTATCGGTTTACCCAATAACCCAATAATTTTTTTTTATAAACCCATTAAAAACCCAATAACCCAATAACATTTTATCGGTTCGGTTTATTGGTCGGTTCGGTTTTTGCACACCCCTATTATTTTGCATTCAAAGATAATTTTGTCTATATGTCTAATTATCTTATACTCCGTTGAAATTAGTAGCTCGACTACCGACTAATGATACCAGATCTTGGGAATGTTTTGTATTTAAGAGCAAACTACATAAATCCCACTAGTTTAGGTCCTAATTACTAGAATTCACGATAGTTTCGAATATTACTTCTTGTACCATATTTCTTCCTTGGATACATATATCATTACTCGCCAGATACAACTCAGATCTTAATTAAGATTACTACTTATTGGATACACATGTTTCAAGGGCTATATCAAAGTAATATTGGTACTACCAAATCCATGTCACGGTAACCAAAGAAAGCCTTGGAAGAACACCAACAAACAAAAACTCTCTACAATACTCCCTTTGATCCTTTTGCGTTGTGGTATAACATAATCAAAACTAAGATCCATTTCTTCCAGAGACAAACAATCAAGACACACTCTGAATTAAAGTTTTTCTGTAGCAGTTACTTTGATTTGATCTAGTTATAAATGAACAATACAAAATAATATTTGAGTTCGGGAGAATTTGTCGGCCATGATGATGATATCTTGAGAAGAAGAGAGTAGATTAGCTATTGTTGAAATGAAATTGTACGATGAAATTCTTGAATCATAAAGGAGGAGACATAATTGAGTGATAAATATGGGAAGGGAGAATTAAGAGATAGTGGTTGATTTGGAGTGAAAGAGTTAATTAAGCAGATAATTAATCAATCCTAGTTTTAAGATAAGTGGGTATCTAATAATCTAATTGTATCTTCAAATGATATATTAATATATGGTATAAAATATTAAAAGTGATAATATATGTAATTGTTTGAAAGAAAAGATAATATTAGTATATATAGTAGTGATGTATGTCTAATTAAATAGTTTTTCCTGTATTTAAATCATAAAGTATAACTTAAATGTTTTTGTGTATGAGAAGCAGAAGATTAGACGAACTGTGGTAACTATTACTAGCCAATCACAATCTCTAAACCACAATTTGAATCCTAACTAATTAATATAGAGAGCGTAAGAAATACAATAGAAAGTATATTTTGATTGTACACTGTAAGTGTACTTATACAGAAATAATTTGTGTTATCATTTAAAACCCTAATGGGCCTTAAAAGACCCTTTATTAGTGGACTCAAGTTTTCTATTGTCGATCTCAACGCTGAAAAAATGATAACTTTATAATTATATGAAGTTTCAATAATTAATCAACATATTCTATATCCCAAGTATTTACACATACACTTTATTCGGAACATACTTGCCCTCAATGTCTAAAATTATACTTTATTCATTTAAAATAGAGCAACTTTCACATATAACAAACACAAAATTCATATTTGTATGCTATAGTAAAGTTTGCATGATTGTGCTCCATAACATATATATATATATATATATATATAATTCACTATACATATACAAAAAAACAATTGCATAATTCGCTATACATATACAAAGAAGGCAGTTGTATAATTCAATATACATATACAAAAGAAAGCAATTGTATACAAAAGACCAATTGTATAATATGTGTACGTATAAAACGAGAAAGAGAGAAAGGCAAAAGAAAACTGGGCAGGAAAATATTTGTATTGTATAATTATAAGTGTATAGGACGAAGATATATGTATTTGCATGTGTATATACAATTTTCTCTTGCTTTATACAAACAAAAGCGCAATTTATACATTCGTTTCTGTTTGTATAAGCCAGAGAGGCGAGGGTGGCGAGCGAGATTTGGGAGAGTGGCGAGCGAGATCTGGGAGAGGGGAGAGAGGGGAACGAAAATATATGGATATATCCAAT